CCGAGGCTGTAGTACAGTAGCTATTCACAGATGTGATCATGGCACTCTGCAGCCTCCAACTCCTGGGCTCAAGCAATACTTGGTAGCCTCTCAGGTAGCTGCCACCACACTCAGTTAAGTCTTACTTTTTTTTTTTTTAAGTAAAGCAATTTAATTATCAATTTTTCTAATGCTTTAAACTACAGTGTTCTAAATCAATATTATTTTTACTATAGGTTATAATTGGCAGAAAAAGTTTTGAAATTTTTTTTTTTTTTTTTTTGAGTTGGAGTCTCACTCTGTCGCCCAGACTAGAGTGCAGTGGCCACTCCCGGCCACCACAGCCTCGACCTGCTGGGCTCCGGCGATCCTTCCATCTCAGCCTTCCGAGTAGCCGGAATTACAGGCGCACGCTACCATGCCCGGCTAATTTTTTGATTTATTGTAGAGATGAGGTCTCGCCAAGTTGCCCAGGCGGGTCTCGAACCCGCGGGCTCAGGCAATCCACTCACCTCAGCCTCCCAAAGGTGTGGGATTACAGGCTGAGCCACTGAGCCCGTCTTAATGTTTTGACTAAAAGTTTAAAGGTCACAAAACAATAGTAATTTTTCCTGTTATCGTGAGATCTTTTTGCTCAGTTTCAACTTGCCTGGTCGTTTTTGCAGTCTGGCACTACTGTGAAAAACAAGGATTTCTTATACATAAAAATTTAAGCCGGGCTCAGTGGCTCAGCCTGTAATCCCAGCGCTTTGGGAGGCTGAGGTGAGTGGATTGCTTGAGCCCATGGGTTCAAGACTCGCCTGGGCAACTTGGCGAGACCTCATCTCTACAATAAATCAAAAAATTAGCTGGGTGTGGTAGCACTCGCTATAGTTCCAGCTACTTGGAGGGCTGAGGCAGCAGGATCACCGGCGCCCAGCAGGTCGAGGCTGCGGTGGCCGGGAGCGGCCACTGCACTCCAGTCTGGGCGACAGAGTGAGACTCCAACTCAAAAAAAAAAAAAAAAAAATTAGCATGTCATAATAAGAATGTGAAAAGCTAGCATTTCAAATTAATGGTACAATAATAGGTCATCCAAAAAAGGAAGCTGAGGAAACAGGCTAGGGATTTGGAAAATATATACATAAAACAGAACAAATTATACAGAACAAATTCCAGATGGATTAAAGAGTTACATGAAAAGAATGAAATGATAAAATTACCAGAAAAAAAATTAGGCAATCATTTATCTAATATTGGTGTGGAAGGATTTTAAGAATTCTATAATAGGTCGGGCTCGGTGGCTCAGCCTGTAATCCCGCGCTTTGGGAGGCCGAAGTGAATGAATTGCCTGAGCTCGCGGTTCGAGACCTGCCTGGGAAACTTGGCGAGACCTCATCTCTACAATAAATCAAAAATTAAGCCGGGCTCAGTGGCTCAGCCTGTAATCCTGCGCATTTGGGAGGCTGAGGTGAGTGGATTGCCTGAGCCCGCGGGTTCGAGACCCGCCTGGGCAGCGAGACCTCATCTCTACAATAAATCAAAAAATCAGCCGGGCGCGGTAGCGCATGCCTGTAATTCCGGGCTACTTGGAAGGCTGAGGCGGAAGGATCGCCGGAGCCCAGCAGGTCGAGGCTGCGGTGGCTAGGAGCGGCCACCGCACTCCAGTCTGGGCGGCAGAGTGAGACTCCAACTCAAAAAAAAACCAAAAAATTAGCTGGGTGTGGTAGCATGCACCTGTAATTTCGGCTACTTGGAAGGCTGAGGCAGAAGGATCGCCGGAGCCCAGCAGGTCGAGGCTGCAGTGACTGGGAGTGGCCACTGCACTCCAGTCTGGGTGACAGAGTGAGATTCCAACTCAAAAAAAAAAGAGCCTGGGCTTGGTGGCTCAGCCTGTAGTCCCAGCACTTTGAGAGGCCTAGGCTAATCGATTGCCTGAACCCACAGGTTCACGACCAACCCGGGTAATTTGTCGAGACCTTGTCTCTACAATAAATAAAAAACTAGCTGGACATGATGGCACATGTCTGTAGTTTCAGCTACTTGGAAGGCTGAGGTGGAAGGATCACCTGAGCCCAGCAGGTGGAGGCTGCGGTAACTGTTAGCATGCACTGCACTCCAGCCAGGGCGACAGAGTGAGACTCCAACTCAAAAAAAAAAAAAAAATCAGCATGCTGTAGAGGTATCTGCACTCTCATGTTCATTTCAGCATTATTCACAATAGCCAAAATATGAAATCAACCTAAGTATCTACCAATGGATGAATGAATAAAGAAAATGTGGCATATATATGCAATGGAATACTAGACAACAGACAGCTTTGAAAAAGAAATAAATTCTGCCAGGCATGGTGGCTCAAGCCTGTATTCCCAGCACTTTGGGAGACTGAGGCAAGAAGATTGCTTGACCTCAGAGATTCGAGACCAGGCTGAGCAACATGGCGAGACCTTGTCTCTACAATAAATCAAAAAATTAGTTGGGCGTGGTAGCATGCACCTATAGTTCCAGTAACTTGGAAGGCTGAGGTGGAAGGATCGCTGGAGCCCAGCAGGTCGAGGCTGTGTGGCCATGAGCATGCCACTGCATTCCAGCCTGGGCAACAGAGTGAGACTCCGACTAAAAAAAATAAAAAGAAATAATAAATAAATAAAAGAAAAAGAAATTCTGTCATTCATGAAAACATGGACAAAATGCTAAGTGGAATAAGGCAGGCACAAAAAGACAAATACTGTATGATCTCATTTGTATGTGGAATCTAAAAAGTTAATCTCATAGAAAGAGTAGAAAGGTTGTTGCCAGAGGACAGGAAGGAATGGTGAAAAGAAAGATGTTGATCAAAGGGCACAAAATCTAGTTAGACTGGAGGAATCAGTTTTAGTGATTTATTGCATTGCATAGGGACCATAGTTAATAAAAATGTATTGTACATTTGAAAATTGCTGAATGAAGAGATTTTTTAAACATTTTTGCCGCACAAAAAATGATCAGTTGATGAAAAAGGATGAAGTCAAAATTGAGTGACTTAGTTAAAGAATAGCCATTTTAACATAGCTTAAGCTTTGTCATATTTTGCTAGCTATCTATTCCACTCCCCACTTCCTGATCATTAGCCAAGGACGAAACCAGCTTTCTGGAGGTAGTCACTGATAACTTGCATCTCCCAAGTATGTCTTCAACTGATGATTACTGTATTCCAGGCCTTCATCTATCAGCTACACAAGACCAAACTGACTTAATCGTAACCAGCCTTTAGTGACTGCTCACCAGCCCACCAGAGACTGAAGGCCCTGAAGTCACAGGACTGATTGCCCTAACAATGTCAAGGACACAAGATTGGTATTACCAATACTCAGGAATGCAGCTGCTGGACATTTTTTTTTTTTTACCATCTTCTTGTTAAAACTTTTTTTTTTTTTTTTTTGAGTTGGAGACTCACTCTGTCACCGAGACTGGAGTGCAAAAGTCTCGACCAGCTGGGCCCCGGCGATCCTTCCGCCTCAGCCTTCCAAGTAGCTGGAGCTACAGGTGTGCCTACCACGCCTGGCTAATTATTTATTTATTTATTTACTTATTTACTTATTTATTTATTTATTTATTTATTTATTTATGAGTTGGAGTCTCACTCTGTCACCCAGACTGGAGTGCAGTGGCCGCTCCCGGCCACCGCAGCCTCAACCTGCTGGGCTTCGGCGATCCTTCCGCCTCAGCCTTCCAGGTAGCCGGAATTACAGGCATGCGCTAGCTACCACGCCCGGATGATTTTTTGATTTATTGTAGAGATGAGGTCTTGCCAAGTTGCCCAGGCGGGTCTCAAACGCGCGGGCTCAGGCAATCCACTCACCTCAGCCTTCCAAAGTGCTGGGATTACAGGGCTGAGCCCCCGAGCCCGGCTGTTAAAACTTTAAAAGCCCTCCTTCCTCAAATCCCCTCACTGCTCTACATCTTTTATTCTTTTATTTTTTTGAGTAGGAGTCTCACACGCTGCCAAGGCTGGGGTGCAGTGGCACAATCACAGCGTCGACCTACTGGACTCCGGCGATCCTTCCGCCTCAGCCTTCCAAGTAGCCGGAACTGCAGGCACGCGCTACTGAGCCTGGCTAATTTTTTATTTATTGTAGAGACAAGGTTTTGCCAAATTTCCTGGGTTGATCTTGAACCCGAGGGCTCAGGAAATTCACTTGCTTCAGCCTCCCAAAGTGCTGGGATTACAGAGCCTGGCCTCTGTACTACATCTTATGTCAGTCCCATTTAAATCCTATCCTGAATCTGAATAAACTATTTTGCTTTACCTTTGCGATTCTTTTGCTTTATTCCCATGGTACTGGCCCAGAGTACCTCAGTTTACCTTAACAGTTGGTGAGGTGACAGATATATTAATGAGTTTGAGTGACTCTTTCTGCAATGTATACATAGACCAAAATATCACATTGTATCCTGAAAATACAATTATTATTTATTAATTAAAAATAAATTAATTTTTAAAAAGTTTTTATTTTTAATTTTAATTTTTTTTTTTTTTTGAGTAGGAGTCTCTGTCACCCAGGCTGGAGTGCAGTGACACGCTTATGGCCACCACAGCCTCACCCTGCTAGGCTTAGATGGTCCTTCTACCTCAGCCTTCCAAGGAGCTGGAACTACAGGCGTGTGCCACCAAGGCTGGCTGATTTTTTTATTTACTGTGGAGGCGAGGTCTTGCCAAGCCAGGCTGGCCTCGAACCCCTGGACTCAGGCAATGCTCTTGCCTCTGCCTGCCAAAGTGCTGGGATTACATGAGCCACAGTGTCTGGCAATTTTTAAAAGTTTTTAAAAGGTGGAAGCTGAGGCACAGAGAGGTTAAGCAGCTTGCCCATGGTCAATAGCTAGTATTTGGCAAAACCAGAATATGAATACAGTTGACTATAGAGAATAGCTCTTAACTCGTATACAGTAGTATATTGTCTCACCATGGTATATATCCATGGTCTATATGGCTTATTCCATAAAGAAAAAGATTTCTTTTGTGTGTGTGTATGTGTGTGTGTGTGTGTGTGTGTGTGTGTGTGTGTGTGTGTATGTACAATCTTTATTTCAGATATTTGTTAAAACACCATTGCTATTTCTCAGGACAAGAGTAAAGATCACCCCCTGCAGAAACTTGGGAACTATGTACGGAATTTTTACAAACAGAGGCAATGCTTTAGCTTAAGCTTGACTGCTGACCAGAGAATGGAGTTCTGAGTGGACTCAAGGAACAAAAGGAAACCAGACAGGGAAAAGGAAGGTGCCCCTCTGAACCAAATTTGAGCTGCCATCAGGGCATATCTTGTGGTGGTCACAGATCATAGCCTGTTTTTAGGTGGTTTGGGTACAGCACAGGATTCCATTTGTCACCTCTGGCTGAGGTGCCATGAAGTCAATGTCACTCAAGTTCCTAGCCAGCCAAACTCCTGCAGCAAAGAGTCTCAAATTGAAGATCAAGTTCCTCTGGAAATCATTCCTATCGGTTGCAAAGCATTAGACGCCCCGAAGCCAATCTCCCACGTTGTCCAGAATCTCTGGAGGTTCATTTGCTGAGCAGTTAGTGCTCATGGCGACCCGGCTGGAAGCCATCGTAGTACCTCCGGGATGAGCTTGTGTGTCTCTCGATGCACCTTATCAGTGGCGAGGGCTCAAGAAAAAAGACTACAAATTCATAAAATTTTTAAATATTTTATGTTAGGAAAGAAATTACATGACAGCAAAGGGCAAAGAACAGACAGCAAAAGCGTATTTGCAACACTTGACAGGACAAAGGGGTTAAATATACAGGATATAGCACGTTAGTTACCAAGTAAGCAGGCTTTGAATCTGGGAGACCACCATCCAAACCCTTGCTTCGTTGCTTTCTACTTACCTTGGGCAAGTTACTTATTTCCCCTTTGTCCTAGATTTCCCATTTGGCAAAGGGCATAACAATGGTACTTCATAGAGTTGTTGAGAAGATAAAACAAGATAGTAAGTGTATAGTACTTAGCACAGTGCTTTGTACTAAGAGAATGATCAGTGACTACCCAGCTTTTATTATTTCAGTACTATGTAAAGGTTGTTACAAACCAGTAAGACAAGTATAATGAAATCAATGGAAAAATACATGATGGGTAGTTTATGAAGAAGAAAATAATGTTTCGATATAGTTAATAAACAAAGCAATGCAAATTAAAATAACAATTTTACCATTTTCCAACACATCATATTCTCAAAAAATATTTCTAAGTGTTAATAGGAAATATATATTAAAGGGAATAAAGCTGGGCTTGGAGGCTCAGCCTGTAATCCCGCACTTTGGGAGGCTGAGGTGAGTGGATTGCCTGAGCCCACGGGTTCGAGACCCACCTAGGCAACTTGGTGAGCCCTCATCTCTACAATAAATCAAAAATTAGCCAGGCGTGGTAGCGCACGCCTGTAGTTCCAGCTACTTGGAAGGCTGAGGCGGAGGGATCGCCGGAGCCTAGTGGGTGGAGGCTGCGGTGGCAGGGAGCGGCCACTGCACTCCAGTCTGGGTGACAGAGTGAGACTCCAACTCAAAAAAAAAAAAAGGGAATGAAAATTGATTCCTCTTTCCTACAGGGCAATTTGGCAGTTTGATGAAGTGATTTTAGGAAGTTACTCTAAGGAAATAATAAAATAGGCAATGCAAGAATATATACATGGGATTTTATTGTAACATTTATCGCTTTCAGTATTGAAAATTTCTAAACTATGTCTTAATATCCATCTGTAGACGGTTTACAATGAATACGTTATCAAAGTTCCTTATAACGAAACAAAATTGCAGCCAACAAAAATAATTGAATTTTTAATGTTAAAATTAGTTATGTTAAAATGAGTACCCCCTTGTCCCAGTCGCCATTATTTCCTCCTTAGATTACTCCCTGCCGCCTGTCTCCTTCTGAACCTGTTCTCTATGCATCCACCAAAGAAAAATCTAATCATGTCACTCCTTGCTTAATTCTTGGGGCTGCGCATCGGAAAGCCCTAAAATTAACCTATAAGGCTAGAATCTCTCCTCTCTCTCACCTTACCCTCCATTAACAGGGTTTTCAGCATGTTTCCCAGTTGACCTTGGGTCCAGTTACCCTCCTTATGAATTTAGCATTTCATTGAGCCCCATTAGTTGGAATCATTCTGTTTTGTCCTCTAATAACCGGTATCTTCACTTCTTTGTAGCTCTTGTACAAATGTTATTAAATGTTGTTCATGCAATTATTTGTTTAATATATGTCTCTCCCATTAATTTAAATCCTATGAGGGCAAAAATAATCAGTTTTAGCTACAATTTTACCTATTCACCTAGGTGCTTGTTGTACATTTATTAAGTGAATGAATGATTAAATGAAATGCAGGCTACAAAATTTACAGTGTGAGTTAAAGAGAAAGTTTCGTGTAGCCAGTACTAGGCACAGAAGCGGATTACCCCATGTAGGTGCATGTGGGCTAGGTTCTTCCTTGAAGGCCAGAGAAAGGAAAGGCATGCCTCAGATCTGCATGGGGCAGAGAGCTTGCTGGAAAGAGCAGAGGTGGGTGGGGTGGCAACCTCTGGGTTCCTGCTCCGTGGATGAGAAGGGGTTTCATGGGAAGGAGGTGTCTCCTGTGGACCACCCAAGGTGCAGGAGGTGGGGGAGGTAAAGGCTGCTGCGAGGCTGAACTGGGATGTCAGGCTGTGTTTTGGGGAGAGATACCTCAGGGGAGCAGAGTACTGCAAGAGAGGGACTAAACATCACCCTCCAGAAAAAGGAGTTTCCCAGCCAGGACACAACCTAGAAGACAACGCGGGACCCTGCAAGCCACTTGGGTGAGCAACTGGTCACTGCACTCTCGTGTTGTACCCCGACTGAGACAACTGGGACCCTGAGACCACACTTGAGGTTGTGACTGCCGTGAGGGGAACGTACAGGCACCAGGTCTTTCCCAAGGCACCATTTTTTTTTGGTTTTGTTTTTTGTCTTTTTTGGTTTTCAGGTTTTTATTGTGGACATATTTCTGGTGGTAGGGCAAGACATCCCAGGAGGGGCCAGAGGCAGCCAGGCAGGTAGAATAGGGAAGGACTTTACTCTTGGATCTTCAGTTCCAGGCCACCTGACAGAGGGCACAGGGCAGACAAAAGGTGGGAGCTGCCCAGTCATGCCTGATGGAGTCCTGGATGTGGTAGCGCTTGCACATGCCGGTGCAGAGGGAGTGCAGGGCACGCAGCAGCGCTCTCCAAAGTTGTCGGGGGGCGGCAGGCGAGGCACAGAGGGACAAAAGTGCCACACAGACAGACGGGCATGTCGTTGCAGCAGTTCCTGTGACCCATGTGCCAGTCACTGGGCTGGGTCTGGTAGCAGCTGCTGGTAGCGCACTGGAGCTGACTGGTTGCTGGATAGGCCATGGCTGCAGGACAGCAATGGCAGTGGTGGAGACAAAGGTGTGAGGTGTGGATGACGTGAACATTGAGTTTGGGTACCTGTTCTTTTTTTTTTTTTTTTTT